CCCCCTACCAGTTCTTCGCCGCGGGCTGTCACTGAGGGGCGCCCGGTGCCGCCCTCCCTCCTCTGCCCGTACGTGAAGGGGCCGTGAGCCGGGGTCACAGCCGGAAGAAGCAGACTTTGCTTTGTTCTCAGGTTGCGAGAGCACGAGAGAAACGGGGGAGGGGGGCGGGGCAGCCGCCGCCGTTTTCGTGTGCGAAGAGGACCGTTTCTACGAGGGAAACAACCGCCTTCCTCACGTCCGCCCCCGGCGCTGCGAAGGTACTCCGTCGAATCGCCTGCCCAGTCCTGGATTGACGATGGACGTGTTTTCACCAAGAGAATAGGGTATTCTTAACTCAGTTATAACTCGAGGTGAAATCCTAGTAAAGAGGAAGGATGGAGCTGGGAAAGGAATCAGTGATTTATTCGTGATTTATCACGTTGAGAAAAAAAATTGATTTAACCTGTTCACTTTTCTGCAAAGTATACAGTACTGCGTGTGTGCAGTTTTTTTTTAACCTGGAGTTATTTAAGAAACTTAAGTGCACAAAAAATACTCAGATTTTCAAAGCTATATTATAATGTTTGTAGTTGGTGTTTGCATCACACTGAAATTATTTGTCATAACCTTTTATAAACTTCAATATTTTTAACTACTTTTAAAATTATTAAAATTGAGCAAAATGTTTGATGATGGAAACAGTAAGATTGTGCTTAACTAGGCATTGCTATTAATATATTACATTTTAATCAACAAATCCTCTACAAGTACAATGTCAAGTGCAAAGAAAGGAAACTCTTAAAGATATATAAAGCCAAATCTGTAGATGAAGGGTCCAGCCTCGTTAGTGTACAGAACAAGATTCCCTTTATAATTCTATTGAAATTCAAATAGTTCTTAGATTTAAATGTCTATATCTTGGATATATAATGTTTTACGCCTTTACCTCTACGGGATTTTACCTGCCAGTTGGCATAAAACCAGATCACAAATTTGATGACTGTCAGCTAGAAAAAAAAATCTCGTCCAAAAAGAGTGTGGGGAAAAGGTTAGCTTTCAGCTAGAGAAATAGGTTAGCATTTGGAAATACTGCGGTAGCCTATAAATGTTTCTGTATACTACCAGTAGATCTAGAATAAGGACAAATCCAGATTTGGATTAGATTTGCCTTGACCAACGTATATGCTTTATATCAGTTTGTCAATGACATGTATTTGTCCACACACGCATGTATATGTGAACATTTAGTATATGTTCTTAAAAATGTTTTATATTCAGAAATAATAAATACTGTTTTTTACCTCCCACATATTTTGGAACTTTATAAAGCTATAGCCAAGAAAAAAACAAAGTTTTTTTTTTTTTTTTACCATAACAAGACATTGTAGTTAGATGTTCAGACGTAAGACCCAATCCCATCCTTTATGCACCATTCTGCAGTGTTTTGTGGGACTACCACTGTACATCTTTCGGGAAGAAGGTTTGTAGGAGCTCTTTTCCTTCAACACAACTGTCCCCATTAAAAGGGAAACATCTGAAAAGGTCCGTACAGTGACTATTCTTGGTCCAGAGTTCTTCCATCCCTTTAGCAATAATCTGAAACAAAATATAAAATAAATACTAGTGGAATCTTCAAGTGACCAAATGTAAGGAAGTGGTGAGTGATGATAAAGCCTGGTAGGGTGATTAAAACAACACATATCTTAATACAGTTGAGATCAGGGTGACATAAGAGTGAAGATTTTAGCGTACGCTCACTATGGAGGGCTGCATTTCAGAGAAGAGTGGTAAAGTAAATGAGTGGAAGGTCATGCTACACAGCCAGCTAAACAAGAGCTTCCTTTTCTGCCATGAAACATATAGAAAACAAAAACTAACAAGCAAAACCTAGAGATGTGTTATTATTACATTAGCATTAATGGGACTGTTACCACCAGTGTCTCAATTCAAACGTCCATGCATCATAAAAATGTTGAAAAATTTGAGAAAGTTGCAAAAAGACCTAAAGCAATGACCGAAGACTTGGAAAACTTGGAATAGAGGACTTATAGCAGGACTATTTAAATTCCATTAAGTGTTTAGTTTATCCAGTTGAAGTTTAAATGAACAATTAAATGAAGCTCCAGAACGATGCAAATTGTCATTGCCCAGTCGGAAGAGTATTGCCATTGCTAGCAGCAGGCCACAGGCCTTGTGCCGACTTTGCAAGGCCCCAGTCCTGGCCTGCTGGGCTTGCTACCAACCTGTTGTGAGAACCTGCTGTGTGACCTGCAGCTTGGTGCCAGGTACCACTTGCTATGAAACAGAGTTTAAGCATGGGACAACAGCAAACACACTGAAAATACTGTAACAGGGTGAAAGCAGAGGCTCCCAAAATAAACAACTCACTGATGGTCAATTACTGATAGTTGCACAACACTGAGAGCTATGAAGAAGACTGCTTTGGGCGTACCAAAAAGAAGCAGCAACAGCTAAGCAAGAGGAAAACAACCAAGCAACAGGAGGAGAGGTTTGCTGTGACCTGTGACAGTAACACTCCCCTGTATCACAAAGTGCGCAGCTCAAACATTTTATAAAAGGACAAAATCCAGAATCTGGGGGAAACGGAACTGCCATCATGGGGATCGGCAGTCATGGAGTTGCTATGGGATTGCCAGAGCTGCTAGTGTGCTGCCTGTGCTCCCTGCCTGTTTCAAAAGCCCTGACACATCTTTTTTGCTGCCTGCTCCGTAGGCCCTGCCTCTCTCTGCCTCCTTGCCCCGAGAAGCCTGCCTCCTCAAGGACCTCTTGACCTGCCAGTTCATCAGGACCGTGTATGTCAGAATGAATGTGTGTGTGTGTTTTTCCCCACAAATTCTGTGCAAATTCTCTGATGCGCTAACCCTTTAGTAAAGCCTTACTGCACATAAACTCAGTTTGGCTAATTATGAATCCTGTGTAGGAAGGATGGTTTAACAGATTAGTTTTGCGT